ATTTTCGATAATTATTTGACCGCAATCAATCGATCGATCTACATCTCTAATCGCAGATCAATTCTAACTGTCCAATATTAAAATGACACTTTTTTTTGATATTACTTTATATTCTAAAATTAATTTGTAAGTCTATCAACAGGACATTTATCATAATTTTCAAGATTTTACTTTGCAATAAAAATAATTCATTGCATTTAATACAAAAGTAATCAATTCCAATTCGTTCACTTTCAAATCTTGATTATGTAAATAATTCATGAAACCCTAGCAGAAATACAACTTTCGATTATTATTAACATTTTCAATGATTCCATTGGCGATATCAATCATTGATGAAATTCTAATATTTAACATCATGAATTTCATGTGTAACGAAAGATTTTCTATTCCAATTCCGATAATAGAAATTTAGATTCCATATTTTACTAAGAAGCAAATCTTATATATCATTAATTCCATCGATTAATTTGCTCGGTGCTTCTTATTAGATCGATAATGAATGAAATTTCAATATACAAAGGTAGAAAGGATTTATTTATCAAAACCAAAAGAAAAAAAACTATTTCTCTGTCATTTTTATGCTAAAAATTAAGATGAATTGTTCACAGAAAAATAAGTTTTTTTTTCTTCTTTAACGACCCATGCCACTGCCAATTTCATAGTTTTGAAAAGCGGCCCATGTTTTGATATCAGGACCTATATAGCGAAAAAAAACGAAACGTATAAAGAAATAAAAAAACAAAGAATAGATTAAGTTTACAGTAACGTGATCCAGTAAGTTTATTAATACTTGGTTCACAACGTTCTTCATATTTTTCAGAAGCTTCTCGTTTTTGTTCTTCACATTTGGTTTTTCCAGGATGAAAAAATGTTCTTTTCAAGAATTCAACTGCTAATTCATGATCTAAATTAAACTATTCATATTCTATGAACTGTTTTCATATAAAATTTTAAATAAAATAATAATTACCAACATCAAAATCATTAGTTTCACGATCTGGTCTTGCCATAGCCATTATCCAGAAAATTGTTATTGTAATATAGAAAAATAATAATTGTTTCATTGTCGTGATTTCGATTAGAATGAAATTTCTGTGAAACAAAAAAAAAAAAAATTCGATAGTTTTCTTCTGCTTTTTTTTTGTCTAGATAAAACATCGACGATACTTACCAACTATGAGATGATATTGTATTTTTTTCTCTGCACTTATGTATATAAAGATACAATGTATAAATTGTTTTTTTTCTTATACTGTATTGCGTGTAGGAGAGATCGATGAATGACGACAGTATTTATAAGATTACATAGTTCTATCGTATAGAAAAAGAAATTTTGATGTGATGACATCAAATGGATGATAAAAATCAACATGAAATGTATATTTCAAGTGATGAAAGAAGATAGATAATATAATGAATAACTAGAAAACGACTATTAAAAGCATATGTATTGTCTGTTTTTTTTTCTGCGATCTAAAGAGAATTTGTTGTTTTAAATAATATAGAAATTGGAAAATATCAATTTTGATGTAGATATATTTTGATCTTATAATAGAAAATTTCGACAGGATATATGAGATATTGATAAAACTTTGCATAGATATTGAGCTCATAGAAATCAATTAATAAAAAAAACTTCCTGTCTCTATATCTTACTATTCAGGATATTTCCAGGGACCAAGTTGTAAAACAGGACTTTTATCGTCCAAATTTTTTTTCTAATAAGAGAATTTATTATTGCTTCGGATGAGAAAAAGAGTTTTTTGATTTTTACTTTCTTGTATTTTTAAGATCACCGAAATCTCAAAAATCTGGAAATTCTAGGTACGATTTGGTGAAAAAGTATATGGAAAAAAAATTTGCTCGCAGTTTGATCATCACTAAAAAAATCGATTTCGAGAAAAACGCAAAAGAAGTTTTTATTTTCGTGCGTCTCAAATTTCTCCATTATTTCAAATGCTAGAAAGTTCGGGTTGGTATTAAAACGTACTCAAGCTGTGACGCTACAACTTAACAGGACTTGATTCTTTCAATTTTCTTCCAGCTTGTGTTTGTAGAAAACTTCTCGAATGAAATATAGAAAACCTAAGGGAGGCTTCAGGTGCAGAACGGTTAATTTTTTATAAACATCAATGGGGAAGTTGGAAAATCGAGCTCTATTGAGTTGTAGAGCTAACTTTTGCCTTCATTTTGACACCAAGCCCAACTTTCTAGCGTTTAAAATGACGAAGAAATTTGGGATGCACGAAAACGTAATAATCAAAATTTTTCAGAAAAACGCTATTTTCCTTTGTATGAGGACTCAGAAAAACCTATATAATATCCTTGAATCTCATTATAAAATCAATAAACTATAGTACATTCGAGAGAAAACACTTCGCTCTATCTAATGAACTGTAAATCACAAATTCGATAAATTTGATGAAAATTGGCTTTTCTAAGAACGTTTCCATTAATTCAACTTGTTCTTTAATGGATATCTTGCAGACATTGTCTTTAATGTGTGACTATATGAAGAATTTGAAAGATATTAAGTTCAATGAGGGTGAAGTTCATCGAAAAGAATGACGTCTTTGAGTTTGCATATTACGGAAAAAACCCGTCTTGAAACTGATATATTTCATTATCCAAATGCGAAGAAGCCACATTCTGTTGAACCACGAGCCACCATAGCTGTGGTTAAATCTTGGTGCCAGCAGTTGTGAAACGACCTTGGACAAGTTATTAATGGCTATTTGTCTCGGATCACCCGTCCGATAGCATGCTGGGTAAGTTGTGACATACATCTGTTCTTGTGATTAGTTAGTGTGTATGGGGAACGCAAGAAGTTTGCGTCAAGCCGATCTTCTGTTCAGAGCTACAGCAAGTATTGGTTGTAGGAACAATATCGAGGTACTGAATCTGTTGCTAAGTAGTCGAAAGGCAGAGATGTCCTTCCTTCTTTTTATTGAACCATTTACCGAATGTTGTCCAAAATCAATAAAATTGTTTGAATTATAGTGTTTATCTACATAGGTATTCGACCTGAACTATATATATTGAGTAAAATGTAAAGAAACATCGAACGAAGTGATAGAAAATTCACTTTTTTTTTTTATCTCAACGAATTTTTGGAATATTTTTGTAGTATTCAATTGAATAGTAGAAGGAAGATTAGGAAATGTTAAATGGATGAAAACTTTTAAGATCTTTCCTTGTATATTTCAAAATGATTGTAATTAAGACCGATATGAATACTTATTATTATAATTTTTCTCGAAATGTTAGTTTTCGTTTTAAATCAATCTATTGAACATTTTATTGTTTTTAAAAAAAAATTACAATGTTTATTATAAAAATTACAATTTAACATGTGTTAATTATTGTTTGATTATCAATCAAAATATTTGAATATTAAATTTTAAAAAAACGTCGTGCATTACTGTTTAATAATTTTTTACATTTCTCTAAATCATTGTCAAAAGTTTTCATTATTAATTCGCCAGGTTTACTTTCACCAAGAGGAAATGGACAATCGGATCCAAGCATAATATAATTTTCGTTCATTATTTCAACAAGAAATTTTAATGCACGTGAATCATGAACAAGTGAATCAACATAAAATCGACCAATATAAGATGATGGTTGATTACTATTTTTATATGCACATAAATCTGGTCGACATTCATGTCCATGATCAATACGACCAACAGTAAATGGAAATGAACCACCACCTCAATAACAAAAGAAAAAAAATCAAGAGTACAATAAGAAATCAATTGATAAGAAATTGATTTACCATGAGCAAATGCTAAACGAAGTTTAGGATATTTTTCTAAAATACCACCCATTAAAATTGAACATATAGCTGATGTTGTTTCAAAAGGCATTCTATAGAATTCGATAATATGAATTTTTCATAACTAAGAACTAATATTTCTTACCCACATAACCATGCCATCCAATAAGCATCAAAACGTTTTCCTGTTTGCATATCCCATGGATGAATAAATACACAAGCATCAAGTTTTTCAACTTCACACCAAAATTTATCAAGTTCTTCATTATCTAAATTCCATTCATTAACATGTGTACCAATTTGTACACCTTTTAAACCTAATTCATTTACACATCGACGAAGTTCATTTATAGCTAAATCAGGTGCTTGTAATGGAACTGTACCAAGACCAATAAAACGTGTTGGATATTGTTGACAAATTGATGATATATGATCATTTAATTCACATGAAAGTTCAAGAATATCTTGATAATTTTCACTTGAATAATTAAATAAAACAGGTATTGTTGAAAGAACTTGCATAGAAATATTATTTTCATCCATTTCACGAAGTCGAACATTAATATCAAAACAATTTGGTTCAATAGTTCGAAAAAATTTTCCATCTTTAAACATATCCAATCGAGGATCACCATCGGCATGTGGTCGTAATTCAAGATATTTTTGAGCATTTACACTTAATTTATATGGTAAAATGTGGGTGTGTATATCAATACGAGCTAATGGTGACGATAAATCCATGATGAAAAAAGAAAACAGATGATTTGCTTTCGTTGATTGATAATGTAGAACGACCTAAGTCAAGCGTTGCGAGAATAGAACGAAAAAAAAACAACAATCTGAAAACAAACAAGCTTTACTTAAAAAGAAATTTTAATTATTTAGTTTGTCTATTGCATTTTAGAATATAGGTTACATAATCGATTGTTGTAAAGAATTTTATATAGTTTTATTAGGATGAAAAATAATTATAAGATGTGTTGTATAGATATCCATCACACCTAAAAATCTGTCACTACAACAATAATTTTTTAAAAATTCTTCGAAAATCATCTTCCGTCACTGTTCTCAATTCGTTCAATAATCGCCTTAAAAATAGAAGCTGACACTGACGGCATGGGTATATCAATATTGACGAGTTTTGTATGTGAAGATTGGAGTGAACTATAAAATTATTTTAAAATTAATCTGATGATCAGGACAATTATAAAATGATTATCGGCTATAACTTTAATAACATATTTGTTCTTGTCAAGAAGTTCAATAAAGAGTTGTTGTCCGGTTTCTGTAACAATATTTATAGTACATTATCTTGTCTATCAATTGTCATGAAGCTAGACCCTATCGAATCCAAAATTTTTGGACCCGACGGATTCTACACGTAGCAGATATTAAAGACTAACTGATTGGTGCAATCAAACCAATTCTGATAGATTTCATCTTTAGTCATTGCGTATCTTCATCATTGTTTAACAATCAATCGAAGAAGGCAGTTAAGTAGAATACTGTCTTTATCATTTAGAATTCAACTCATGTAACATTCAGGACTAAACTCGTTTGTATATGATACCGTTTTGTATTTATATTGAATCGATTTTTATAAAATAAAATTTTTCTATAACTACAAAATAAATTGAATAAGGGGAAAATAGTAAATTAATTTTGTTAATTTTCGAGTATTTATTCTTGAAAAATTATTGAAGTATAAAATTTCCGTGTGATTTCATTCTCCATTTCCTGATATTTAATAATCTATAACAAGCGAGAAAATAATTATTCTAGATTAAAGTAAATTTCATCATTTCGTTTTCTTTTTTTTGTTATATGCAAAAAAAAAAGACACGGAAGAAATACAAATATTTAATATGGATAAGGTTCGTCAGGTGGTGGCGGTGGTGGTTGTATAATATTATTCACATAGGAATTCTGATTAGTAGATGTATATGATGATGGAATATTTCTATTCATATCTATTGTGTTATTCGAATACATAGCTGAATATGGATATGTATAAGGTTGTATTTGTTGTTGCATGGAATTTTGTGCTATTCGATCATTATTTTGAAGTGATGTTTGTTGACGATCTTCAGGCCAAAAACCACTATGTTCTTGTTGAGCACGAGACATTTGCATCATCTAGAAGAGAAGAAAAATTGATGAT